GTAGAAAGAAATGAGCTTCAAACATGGCTGGGGGGGGAAGCTTTCAGCTAGAGATGGCTGAGTTCTTTCCTTCTTTTTTAATGCAAAGTCAGGGAAAATACAGCACTGCCCAGTTCTTTTGAGCATCGAAGTGTTAGTTTTGTTCTTCGGGAGCTAAGAGCTCAAGTAGAGATGCCTTCTCTGTTATTTATACTGAATTAATTTAGTACCTTCATGGGCAACTACAGAAATGGCATTGGAATCAACTTCAGCAACCTTAAACATATACAGGAACAGTCTTAAACATATATAGGTATGTTTAACAGCTTCACACTAAATAGGTTTTTTGGACAGTATTTCTTAGGCGATGGAGGATTCTGAGCCTTGCTAATGGTAGCGGTTGTGAGGCAGCAGGCACCTTCAGCAGGCAGGTGTCTGGAGGAGGGGAAGTGTGAGAGCAAAGAAATGAGAACAAAGAAAGGATGAGGGATGTGAGGCACTGACAGAACACGGGGTTACGCAGCACTTCGGGTCAGTGGCTCTGTTGTAAATACTAAGTGAATCTGAGACTGACAAAGCAGTTTTATCCAAAAGATACAAATATTGGCTTGTGTTCTCCAAGGGTACCATGAACAGAGGAGTGGGCTCAGAGCATTGCTGAGGACGTATTTGCTGCTTTTTTCATCTGTACATTGTCCGTGCTATAGAACATTTGTGCTGCTGTAAGTCAGGTGTTGACCTTTCCCATCTCAAATTGCAAGAGCAACTCATTCTCTCCTCAAGAGAAGCTGACATTCTAACTATATTATCTTTGATGTATATGTACTCTGTTCATTGACCACATGAGAAAGCCAGATGTTGTATTTAAAGGGCAGGATAGTATAATCTAAAAGCAGGAGTACCAAGGTCTTTTGTCTTCTGACCCACCACATTATCATGTGTGCCAACAAGACCTCTGTGTTGTGGTGCTCCTGTCGGGTGTTAAATCTTAGTGACTGGGCTCAAAAGCAGTTGAGGTTTTGGGGCCTAACATTCTCTTCCCACAAAAGCTATAAAATGGGCAGAGCTTTAAGGGAACCACAGCAACCTTTGCCCAAGCTTTCCTACAGTCTAACTCAGCCCTGCCTCCATCGATGTTCTCATGGGTAGCCACAAGTCCCCAGAGTGTTTGAATCCCCTGGATGGCGATGGAGGGTGTCTGTCTATAGTGCCTGTATGGACACACACACAAAAGGGCCTCACATATGTGTGCTCTTTATTTTACACATGCTAAACACAGTGAGACTCCATCACCTGCAGCAGCTCAAGCAGCAGTTGTGCTGCTGCCTTGGGGAGCTGATGGGCTGTTTCAGTATTGGATACAGCAGAGAGAAATGTGGATGATTTAGGATTAGCTTTATTACAGCAAAACCAGAGTTCACTAACTCCCATTGTAACCTACCTGGGCTGTGGTGTATTTAACTGATTTCATGTTGATAATGCTGGGCTTTGATAATTGCTTTCTGTAATTGGAACAAATTTATGATTATGCTAATTCATCTGCTGCCAGCCAGTCTGTAGCAGCTGAGTTAATCCATACCTGCCCCTGCATTTCTTGTCTACATCATTATGTGATTAGCCTTTGGTAGAAATTGATGGGGGTATTTTAATTCTGAGCAAATTTAATTTTGGGGGGAGGGGGGATCAGATCTCTTTATATAAACTTGTGGCGTATTATAGCAGGTTTTGAACTAAGCCTGGTTCAAGATGGAAACATTTCAGATCTTCAGACAGCCTAATTCTTAAAAAGAAACGTATTTAATTGCGTTACAAGCAACTGTGTGACCTTTGCTGATGAGAAAGCCGGAGGAGTGAAATGCTGATGAGTTTTGAGTCTACTCCTCAGGCCCTGCAGGGTGGCAGCTCAGAACACGGTGCCTCATTTCAGTGTGGAGATACGGTCTGCTTCTTCATTGCCTTTCATTTGCTTGGTTGTGTTTGTGTATTTGTGTGGGTGCTGAATTATTGCAAAGGTTGCATCCCTGCAAGTAACCACAACCTTTTGTCATTGTGACTCCTTTATCAGTTTATCCTGTAAATCCATCCATTGCGTCTCCTTTTCTGACTGCTGGGGCAAAGGCAGTGAAGCAGTTTGAATCAATCTGAGTTTTCTTCGAGGGAGGGAGAAGCTGGAATAGGAAATGAGCATTTGCAGTGTCATCAAGCCTCCAGATAAGAAGCAAAAGGCAATGCTGCCCTCCCTTACAAATCCTCTTCGGATCGCGCATCTCTCAACGCGTTCATGTTTATGTTCCATCTGTTTAATGCTCTCCCTTCACCCGTCATCATCGTTCTTTGAAATGCTTTGCTTTAATGTAAATGTTTTTCATTCCCCAAGCCTGGCAGCCCCAGCCTCAGCTACCAGGGGATCAGTGTGAGCTCCCTCCTGGAAAACTGTACAGGAAAAACTGCAACAGGCACAGGGATCGGGAGCCTGATGCGCCACTCGCTGCCCCAGAGCTGCACTTGTGCAGTAATGAGCTCTGGTAGTACTAGACATGTTTGTCATTTCTTTGGACATGACTGTGTTTGTCATTACACTGTACATAAAGTGAGTTTAATTCTGACTGCGACCATTGAATTTCTGCCACTTGATTTATGCTTGTGCTGCTGTTCCATAATTTAAATTGCATTCCCAGTTTCTTTGCTGGAACCCTTTCTGATAATGAGTAGTACAGTTCAGTGCAGAGGGAAGCTGAATCCTGAATGGATTACTTGACTGTTCCTCCTCTCGCTCAGACCAAGGGGAATGTAATGTGTTCAAAGAGACACTCTTCAGGGAAGAGCTGAGTGTTACTGGGTTTAGCAGGGCTGGCTGGTGGCTGCTGGAGAGGTGAGGTGTCAGCCGGGGGGGGTGAATGCTAGCCAAGAGATTGCCTGGAGTGCTTCTAGCAATGGAAATGAGGGCACCTGAGCTGCAGCGTGTGTGAAGTTCATGACAAAGGGTGATGGCATGCCCTGACGATGCCAAGGGAAGTCTCCTCTGGCTCACACACATAAGCGGGGCTGGGTCAGGTGCTGCTCCTCACTTAGAAACTGCATGGGAATGTTTGTTGTGATGTGCACTGGGGCACACAAAGCCTCTGGTCCCAAACCTCTTGAAATTCTGTGAAGGAGATGGTTTAAAAAGTAATCCCAGTGTGAAGGAAGCTCAGGTCTGAGAAGTGAAGCAAAGGAGTGTGATGACAGAGCTTTGTAAGCAAGCAGAAATAGCCAGGCTTGGCTCCAGTGCTGAATGTGAGCTTTGATGGTGACATTCTGTCTCTGTTACCGTTTTTGGTTGACTTCAGCTTAAGGAAGAGCATACAGATCTAAGACCTTTTAACTGCTTTCTGTATGCAGTATGTAATGCACTTCACACTCAGGAAATGCCTCTGGTGACAGATGTGTAAACCAATGACTTGGTTTAATCCATAGTCACCATGTAGGGAACCAGTGCCACAGGCCTGGATTCCTTTCAGGTTAAGTTCCCTGCTGACTGGGATACAGGAAGCTGTGGGCATGTCGGTCGCACACCCAGAGTGAGGGATGCTACTGGAAGGTGAAGCTGGTGTCTGGCATGAAATGTAATTGGCTTTGCTGGTCAGCTTGGGCAGGTTTGTTTGTGAACTGGGAAGTGCACAAATGGCACAGCGCTAATGAATGCCTGGAGCTAGGAAATCCATCAGCTCATTACCACAAAGTTCCAGGTCCTTCCGCAAGTTCCTAACAAGGTTATTCATCTGACCTGAGATGGGGATTTGACTCCAGGGCCCAGCCACACCTCCTTCAGGTCCGGAAAAGCTATCAAAATAACTCATATTTATTTAGTGTTTTACTAGAACGTGTTAATTCTGTTTCTATTTTTGATGCTTCACTTCTGTAGCAGCAGCTTACCGTGCCTTAACTATTTCTTTTTAATGTTTCAAGTCGAGAAATGCCTTGAAGATAATTCCTGGGTCTCCTCAGATACATTATACACAGCAGTTTGTGGTATCTACGTACCTTCACAAATCCTAATGCTCTCTGGGGTTTATGGAAATTGAGAGTCTGTGACCACTTATCCCTGTGTGATTCCATCCTTCTGTTTCTCTCTCAAAAGAAGTGGAATTAATACTCCTTACTACAGGTTGGGTGATTGCTGATCACTGTCCAGCTGTTTGACATGGGAAGCACTGCATATCCAGAGCAGCAGTTGTAAATAGTTATTTTTTCTCTGTTGCCATTTTCTTCCATGTTCTTTGACTAAAAATCAGTCACTTTCTAAGTTACCAGCCCACAGCACCTTCCTCTGAGGCGCAGGGATAGGAACCCAGTGCAATGGTTAGCTGATTGCACATGGGCTGTGAATCTCCACTGGTCAGGGCTCTCTGCTCCTGCACTCAAAGCAGATACTTCCCAATCGGATCAATGAGGTTGTTGGCTCAAGGCATCAAGTGCCTGTGTTTGGCTTTACAGGTTTCCAGATATTTCTGTTTTGCCTTTCTCTTAGGGAAGCCCAAAGGCTCTCCTAAACAGGACAGTAATTGAATCACATCAGTAATTTTATCGTCACATCTCAGATTAAACATTAAGGAGGCAGTTACCTACCCCACCAGGGAGAGTGTGGTTAACTGCTGTCCTTTTTTCCTGCCTTCTTCTTCCTCTCCTTTCCTTCCTTTTTACCCAGTAGAACAGTAACGGTTCCCTTATAATCCACACCTGTACAGCTCTGAACAAGCTCTTTGCCATTTGCTGTTCTTTCATTATTTGCTATGTTGCTATGAGCCAGCATTTAATCTGATGTGCTTTGTTAATAAGCTCTAGGGTCTTCACGACAGGAACAGAGGAGTAGTTTCTGAGTCTGTGAATGTCTGCCTTTTTGGGAATCCCATCCTAGCTTCACTTTTAATGTTATAATAAAGACCACAATGACATTTATTAATGAAATCACTGAAATATAATTTAGCAGATTTCCCGCTTCCATCTTTTTGTTTCCTACTTGCTGTTGTTCTCTGCTCCAGGTGGAATGGCTGAAGAACGAGGAGCCCATAGATTCCAACCTGGATGAGAACATTGACACCAGAGCAGATCACAACCTCATCATTCGACAGGCACGTCTGTCTGACTCGGGGAACTACACCTGCATGGCTGCCAACATCGTTGCCAAGAGGAGGAGCATGTCTGCCACAGTCGTGGTGTACGGTCAGTGTGAACATGCTCGTTACAGAGGAACATAGATGTGTGTGCTTTTAGTGCTGGAGTACTTGGTATTTTTAGCCTCCAGCTGGTTCTGAATCAAACGGCTAATTTGAGTTCTGTTGTTCAAGGCTCAGATGCCTCCTGCTCTTAGAGAGGTTGGAATTACGAGGGGTTGGTTTGTGATGGATTCCCAGAAGTTATGTCAATAATAGCAGTCCTTGCTCCAGATACTAAGAAGATCCAATTATAAACTAAACCACAGAAATCAGCCTCGCCTGTACCAGGAGAACCTGGAGCACAAGCCTAGGGAGGTACATAAAGGGCTGCCTTAATTGGATCTGTGCTGCTGCAGCGTCCAGGCCCTAACTACTGAATCTAGGCATTGCGCAGCAAAGGATAGAAGAGCAGAACTGAGGCTTTATTACCTCCCTCTCGTGCTCTCCATGTTTATTACTGCACGTGTCTTCTTATTGGGAAGGCAGAGCATTCCTGAATCGCCCTTTTTAAAGTCAGGAAGTCTTGTTTATGATTTGAGCAAAGCATATTTTATGAGAATTGAAATGCCTGCTCTTGCCTCCCTCCCAGACTCTGTCAGTCATTGCACTTACAGCATAGTGCTCTTCCAGAACAAATATTTGTGTTCTCTGACACCATGGCCTTGATGTGGTTGTGTACTGATGGGCAGTGATGCTCCTACTGCAGCTTGGCATTTACCTGTAGAGTGTAAAACCAAACTTCTGCCTTTGAATGACATGATCTGATCAGATGTGTTGGTTGATGTCTCTTAGCCTCGGGCATGTTGGTGTTTTGCAGTTAATGGAGGCTGGTCATCCTGGACCGAGTGGTCCAACTGCAACGCTCGCTGTGGTCGGGGCTGGCAGAAACGTTCCCGGACCTGCACCAACCCTGCTCCGCTCAATGGAGGTGCCTTTTGTGAAGGGATGTCTGTACAGAAAATCACCTGCACTTCTCTCTGCCCTGGTGAGATATGCACAGTCTGCTAAGGACTGACCCTGGGTAACGTTCATGGGAGAGCTCTTTCAGTCTGAAATGCCAGTTGTGCTTAGACGAGCCCATCGAGGCCAAAAAGGAAATGGGAAACCCTTGCATCCTTGTTTGGACTGCAGCTCAGAGCCTGATGTAGGGGTGAGCAGTGGTCACAAGCAGCTATGGCCTGGTGTGCCAGGTTTGTCAGTGCTTTAACTTACACTGAAGTTAACTAAATAATAACAGCAACTGGTTCAGTAGGAAAATCATGTTGGTGGGTGTGGTACAGGGAAGCGGAGGGGATGTTAGGAATGCTAGAGGGAAACACAGAAACCTAAACTGAGAACTTAGCTGGAAGAAGTTTGCTTTCCATCTCTATTAACCTTTGGAAGCTGAGCTTGGGCCATACATGGGGCATGGACCCCTGGATACTCCATTTCCTTATTTGTTCACCTGAAGCCTCCCTTGTCTGATTCTGGGTTTGGTGTTTCACACATAGAGCTAAAGAAAGTCAGTAGAACTGTGTGCATGTGTATTGGAAGAGACTCTGTTAGTCTGTGGTCACATCATAACTTGTCTGGACTCTGAGAAATCTCTCCTGGGTTTTATGAGTTTTTAAATCCAACATGTGCTGAACTGGGGTTTAAAAACTTCACATGATCTAAACATGTCTCTGTTCATCTGACTGTTCTTTGGTCTGATTTGTGCGTGAAAAAGAAAAGGAACTGTGGAAACCCTTGTCATTATTGGACAGGGTCAGAGACAGCTATAAATCAGTCAGGTGAGCAACAGATTGATCCTCTCTCCTGCCATGGGCATTAGCCAGCAGTCTGCAGGGCCAGGTCTGCTCTGGTCTTTTGTAGATGTCACCAACCCTGCTCTGGTAGGAAAATGCACGGCCTCAACGTCAGCCTGGCTTCAGGTAGAATTTGTGCTGAAACTTTAGAAGCTGATAGCTGGGTGCCCAAGGAAATGCTTCCTCCTGCAGTTTTAATTGACTGTGTTTGCAGAACGTTACATACTGGTGCTATTCTAAAAGCTCCCATGCTGCACGCTTGGGGTGGTGCATCCTTATGCTGGGTTTTCACATCACATCTACCCAAACTGTTTAGAATGAAACTCTACTTGCTGTGACCTGAGGAGAGATAGGAAACAGGTATTCTCGGCAGGACCTTGAGTACACCAGCTCCGTACACAGTGATGATGCTTGTTTCTCCTTCCTCCCCATTCAGTGGATGGAAGCTGGGAGGTGTGGAGCGAGTGGTCTGTGTGCAGCCCCGAGTGCGAGCACCTGCGGGTTCGGGAATGCATCGCGCCGCCTCCCCGCAACGGGGGCAAGTACTGCGAGGGCGTGAGCCAGGAGTCGGAGAACTGCACCGAAGGGCTCTGCATTCAAGGTGAGGAACTGCTGGGACTGGGAGGTATGGCCTGAAATGTGTGCTGGGAGCCAGGGAGTGCAGCGTGTGCCGCACCCCCATGTCAGCGCAGCGCTTGGGGCTCAAATACTGCTGTGAAGGAGATGGTTTTCAGAGGGCTGTGTGTGTGAAAGTGGAAATGCACACAGCACAGTCTTTACCTGGGAGTTACGAGTGTGAAAATCCAAATGAAGGCTTTGTGCAATGTGTAATTACAGTCACGTGCTGCAACACATTTCGGTGTTCTGCTCTGCCTTCTACCTTGTCTTGCAAGTGAGCCAGCAAAGCCCCACAATGAATGCTCTTGGTGCAAGAGCTGTTTAAGGTCAAAGTTTATTCCATTTATTGCTTTAACATAGACGATAAATAAAAGCAAATCTACTTCCTGGTGAGTTCAGGATCTACATCTGCATGGCCTGCAGCTTGAGTGAGAGGTGGGATCCTCAACAGGAAGACAGAGGGGGATGCCAGCTGGTCCAGATGGTTCAATTCATCATGGGGGGGGTATGACCCAGGGTTGGGGCTCCTTTTGCTGGCAGATACCAGTGTAGTGTTGGCTGTGGGAAATGAAGCAGGCTGCCTTCTGAAAGGTGCTGCAGAGGAACATTGAGGTTGAAAGCAAAACTGCTTCAGGCCATAAGGAGGCAGTTGCCAGTTCACCTTCCCCCTTGGAAAGCAGGGCTTAGAAAAGAGGATAAAAATCAAATCCATCCCGTGACAGCCCCATCAGTGATTGCACAGATAGTGCAAGCAGAGTACTTATTTTTGCTGTTATTAAATTGGATGCCTGTGAAAGAAGGCAAACTGACAACCCAGGGGACATAGTTCTCTGTTTATCCACGGAATAGATTACAACAAAACAGAGCTTCCAAGCTCCTGCTTTACTTCAGCTCCCTGTTAAGAACGCCAATAGCAAGCACCAGACACAAGCCCACAGCACCAAGTGATGTGATAGGTGGGCCGTTGGAATAGTTACAACATGACAACTAACTTAGTTTTAATAATTACCTGAATTACTAATTACTATTTTCGTTGTGTGTCAGATGCTTTGTATAAAATCAAGCTCTTTGCATCAGGGTCTGTCCCTCTGCTTTATGTTTGTACAGCCCCTGGTGCAAAGATTATTGTTAATGAACCACTAACCTGACTAATGGCACTGCAGTAAAAAAGAAAAATGCCCCGACAGTTGAAATCAATGGAACCAGCACAGGATTCACCACTGCCTCTGCACAGGAATTCCAGTTCTTCTTTGCCATGGCATTTAGAATCACTTTATAAATGCAGTTTTAAGAACATGTAACTGGTTTGCACCCCCGTGTGCAAACAGAAGTCAGTGGTGCATGCCTGAAAACAAGTGTCTGGAATAGCAATCTTTCTCTTTCAGCTGCAAATCACTTTTCTACAAATGGGACTTAAAGTGCTCTTAATTGACTTAAAATGTTCTTAATATGCTGTGTGTAAAGAACTTGCCGCCTTTAAATAAATGGATCATTATGGGTAAAAAGATACAAAAAGCCTGTTTGAAAATGGGAGTAAATTTTGCACAGATGGAATCAACCTGTGTCACTGTGGAACACAAAGCTTGTAAAATGCAACTTTGATGTTGGAATGAACTATCAGAATCATTTTACAAAGGGTAAGTGGCATAAGTAATAAACCCCACATTTTATGATTTAAATGAAAAGCCATTTAAAATCTAAGCCTACTCGGGGTGCATGTATTGACATCAAAGCAATGCTATTTAAAATTAACACAACTAAATTCTCAGCTTATGCTCAGTATCAGTGGGGGGGATCTGCTGCTGCTGCTGGGTTTTCCCTGCAAAGGTGAGATGGGATCTGGGGAAACTGAACTAACAACAACACTGTGAAATGAATTCAGAGACAAACAGAAGGCAAGTATTCTGTCTCTGCTGCAAACACCAGCGATTTTGCACCTAATAGTGGGATCAGAAACTGATCTCCAGGTATTTGGAGGGTTGGGGTGGATTTCTACTCCGGTGTAGTTTGGAGTTGAGCGCGTTGTCGGGATTATCCTTTGTGTAACAGCACTTGTCTGGAATGGAGTGAGCTCTGAGGAGTAAAAGGGGAAGCTACAGCCCCAGTGACATGAAAGCTGCTGCTGTTGGGTAATGAGTGGTGTGTGTTCTGTGTTACACCAGCTCCTTTCCTCTGCCGGGGTGGGGGTACCAGGAAGTGTTCAGAGTCTCCCATTTCTTTCATCTTGGATTGTGCTGCTCTTCCTCCTCTATGGGTCGAGCTGTATGTACCTACTTGTGTCAGAGTATTTTTAGGGCTGTAATTGCTTTCTCAGCTAACAGGAATTGATGCAATTACCCTGTTTTTTAAAAATGCTTTTCCCCGTTCATCTTCCAGTCTGTGCCTTTTCTGCTCTGCTTTCCATCCCTTGGGGAATTGTGAAGGAAATCACAAATTGTGAATTGTGGAGTGCTGCGCTACAGAGAACTAATCTCCTGCAGGTTATTTATCAGGCACAACTTGTTAACTTTGTTCCTTTTGTGAGGCAAAAATAGAAATGAAACATTTCTTTGGTTAACAAGTAAGAACTTCAATGTAAGTAAGGGTGAGAGTGTAAGATGCCAGGAAAGCACAGGGCAGATTGAACTGGCAGAAAAAATACTAATCCCTAGCATGGATTTCCAAGTTTGGAGTCAGTCGGTGAAGAGGAGATAACTTGGGGTCTCCTCACAGGTACTTGGTCCCTGACAGGAGAGGCTGGGCAGAGCACAGAGGTGATGCTCTTCCATCCTCAGGAACGTCCTGTTCCTCACTTTGGCATTTGACTTTCTGGATGGAACCAGACAGTCCAGACTGTAACTGAGGAGCAGCTGAAAGTGCTCTTCTTTCAGGGAATTTCTTCTGGGACTTGTAACAACTGAGTAGATAGAAACTTAAATGCAGGAGAGAGGTAGAATTAGTTGGGGATTTGATAGGCAGGAAAGATTGCCGGGCTGGGAGGAAACTGGAGGCTGACCCAGTCCAAATCCCTCTCACTCACACGATTCCTGATACCGTACTCATTTCTTGCATATTTGTTCTTTCGTTGTTGATTCCTACCAGTATTCTCCATAGTACACTCTTCCATGGTGGATTTCTCTCTGTCTGTGAAAGCTTTTTCTTTGCTTAATAGAAGAGAGGGTTTCACAGAGCATTTTGATTTACTTTTATCTGTGTGCTTTAATGTTATGTTTTATAACTTCAAAACCTATTGATTTCTTTTCCCCGTGCCCCCAAAAGAAACAAACAAGTAGGCCATCAGCAGATGAAGTACAAACATGGTTTTTTACTAATGCATCATAAATCACCAGTAATTTTGTTTTCCATCTCTCAGTCAGCCATGATACTGAGTATTGCCAAGAGGCTTCTGGGCCCAGCAATCCCACCAGGCTGTATGGGAAATGCATTTCAGTCTCTGCTGTAGGGAGTGCGATGTCAGCAGCATCAAACTGTTCCTATTGCAGAGCTCAGTGTGACACAATTCATAGCAGCCTTCCAGTATCTGAAGGGGGCCTATAGGGATGCTGGGGATGGACTCTTCGTTAGGGACTGTAGTGATAGGACAAGGGGTAACGGGTTAAAACTTAAACAGGAGAAGTTTAGATTGTATCTAAGGAGGAAATTCTTTAGGGTGATGAGGCACTGGAATGGGTTGCCCAGGGAGGTTGTGAATGCTCCATCCCTGGTGGTGTTCAAGGCCAGGATGGATGAAGCCTTAGGTGCGATGGTTTAGTGTGAGGTGTCCCTGCCCATGGCAGGGGGGTTGGAACTTGATAAGGTCCTTTTCAACCCTAACTATTCTATGATTCTGTGAATTCAGTTGGTGTTTCTGACCATCATTTCCAGCAAAGATAAAAACAACCTTAAGAAGGGAAACCCCCTCCCAGCAAACTTTGGCAAAGCCCAAATCCAAGAATCTTTCAGGTTAAGCACAATTAAACTGATCATGTCCTGAGATAGATAGTAAAAATAACAGAAGGTGCCTCATAATCCATTTGCTTTACATCATCACCCAGCAAAACACTCAGCTGAGCATCCTGGACCATGACGTGGTTTCCACTAAGGCAGAGGATTGCAGTAACGGTGGTTGTGCTGATAACCCACCCCTGAGGAAGCCAGTCCCAGATCCTTCATCCAAAAACATCAAAAGAGAAACCAGGGAATAACTCAGTCAAAGGGAATTTCCTTAGAACTTAAATGTAATTGCATATGCATGGTAGTATATTCATCTGTGTGTTCTTTATATACACATATAGATGCCATTATTATATATTAAATGATAGCTGCCGTATTTAGATACATAAATGTGAATATATTGTACATGTTTATATTTTAAAAATTACTTGTTTAATTGTCCATTACCTTTCCATCTGTCAAACACGTAAAGAAATGATCAATTCTTAACTTTCTTTGCCACGTGAGCTGCTTCAAACCATTGAATTTCCTTATTGCTATATAATATTCTGAATCAAAGCACCCAGTAAAACTAACAAAGAGTTGAATTAACCAAGGGAGAAATGACTGCAAAGAAACAGCCTGAAAGAGATTTAGAAACAAAGAAAGGGGGGGGAAAATGAAGGGAAAGCTATGGACAACATAAAATATTCACACTGTGAGCAAGCAAGGAGATGATGTTTCATGTCTAGAGCTACACAGAAGCGATAGAGGAAACAGATATGCTCCATGTAAATTTATTAAGTGCAACTTTCTCTCTCTCTCTCTCTCTCTCTCTCAGATAAAAAACCTCTTCATGAAATAAAATCCCAAAGTAAGTTATTTTTTTTTTCTCTTGTAAATATGATTTTTCTCATCTTCTCTGCCATTCTGTTTGCTCAGGAGCTGAATAAAGCTGAAGGTTGTGGGAAAGGCTTTCATAGCTACTGACAGCATCTTCTTAGCAACTTTGTGGTGGTAGTGTTAGCCTGAAAACAGTCATTTGTGTCTGAGCGGGAGCCCTTTTTGCATCCTGCGTGGCTTGACACTGGCCTCTTGCGGACCTGTAATTAGAAAACGAGACATTAATACAGGGGTTTGTGCTTTCTTGGTTCCACCACTGGCTCTGAACTTGTTCAGCCCCTTTCAGCGTTTATCTATCAGCTGGTGAAGGGACTTTATCTGCATTACCCTATAGACAGTTCTCATTTACATGCTGCTGGGGGCTCCTCTCCTGCACTGTTTCTGAGTCTTAGACTGATTTCAGTGGAATTCTAGTTCAGAGCAGCGTTATTTGGAGTGAACTGACTGAATGATACGATTTCATCCACCCCCCAGTCAGCCTCCGTGCACAGAACATTGCTTTGTTCTGTCATAAACCCTGGGCAAAGTTTGCTACTTGAAAGAGTATCAGTCCAATCACTTTATTTCTGATTTATTAAAGAAGTAACTTCAGTGGAGTTGATTTTCTCACATAAGAACCCAGGAGAAGTAACGGGTTTGGTTGTAGCTGTGGGGTTAGCGCCACAGAACAGCTTGCTGCTGTTCAGCAGAACAGGACCTTGGTTCAAGAGTGCACGAACTGATGCAGAATCAAAGTCAATTATGAGGATCACTGAGAAAGAACCTGTTTTACTAAATAACCTCTTGCACAGCTCTCTGGTTTTGCTCCTTGTTCTCAACAACTGACTATGTGAGGGAGCGGGAACCACAATGAGGGACAGGGAAGCAGGGCAGGGTGGGAAGCTGGAAAACCCTTTCTACTTTCATAGCAAACTCTAATGGCAGACAGGGGATGTATGCCCTGCATAGCTCCTAGAAAGCACTTATTGTAAATGAGATAATTTAATCAATTATGTTTCCTAATGTACTAAACCAAATGTTTCATTTTCTGCTCCTGCACATCTTAAATTATCTTCAGGTGCTTTATGAAACTTAATCATAGTTAATAGAAACTTCATTACCATCAAATGTGCTTTCAATAAATGTTGTGTAACAGTGTCAGGAGGTGGAGTGAAATACAGGCTACAATTACCACCGACATGTATCCTGGCACTGGAATGGTGCTCCAGCAGAGTCCCTGCGCCGCTGGCCGGGAGGATGCGCTTCATTACACAGTAATTGGTTGACTATAAATGTTTTCTTTTCTAGTTTGTTTGTTTTTCACTTTGGTCCCTTCTGGGAACAAATGAAAGCAGAAAATGAGCCCATTCCCCCGTTTGCCATGCGTTCCTTTTGTCTTTAACGTCTGCTCTCCCACAGAAGGAATTAGCCATGAGACAAGAGAGGAAGGTTGAAGAGACTTGGAATAGCTCTTCCAAGTCCTCTATGAAACGGAACAATGCCCATTTTATTAAAGATAAGAAAATTCAATCAATAATTGTAAGATTTTTTTATAATAATATCATTTATAGAAAATTATGGAACTGAAGCTTAGGGATACTTCACAGTGTTCACTGACAGCAAGATTCTCTCCAGGAAGATTTTGAGTCAGACTGTTCTCATGTTGGAAGTCCTGTTCTTGCTCTCAGCTTTAACCCATGTACGACAATCGTGTGCGGTTCTAAAAGTATGAAACTTAAATTACCCGATGTCTGAATCAATTGAACAGAAGCAGCCAAGCTATTTATGTAGATTTAGAGTAATCAATTGCACTTACTCACAGGTGAGAACTTGAGGTGTGTTTTATATTCTGGTTCTGATGGTAAGAGATCAATTTTCTACCTGTTGCCATTATGGTGGCAGTAATTTTTTACTGATGGGTTATTTCTGCGTGTTTCAGGCTTTATAATTTAGTATCCCACGAAGGTAGAAAAGGCAATTCAAATTTTCAGTACTTTTCTGTTTTAAAGTAATGATCAAAATGAAGGGCTTAAAGAGGCTTTATGGTGAAATAACCACCAGCTCTCAGTGGTTCTGTAGGAAGAAAACTCCCCCCCTTGCTGCCAGGTTTCTCCCACCACATCACATCCCTTCTCTTGGCTTATTCATTGTACTAAATACCCACAAAAATGAAGTCAGCAATAGAGTCTGCAACAACAAAATAGCTTGGGGATAGAAAACTGGAAGAAAAAGAAACATAAGCAGTTTCTGTACTTGTTTTCTGCACCTCATTGTAGAGGATAAACCAGAAGTAAACCAGTATGTGATTGGCACTGGACTGGGATTCAGGTTGGCCTGGTTTGATGTGTGGGATTTCCAGCCCTCCCTTAGGACCCTGTCTTTCTGCATCTCCTTTTCCTGTCTGGTGCAAGGGAATATGGGCATCTCCTGTTGTTAGTCCCATACAATTACCTTGTCAGCTAACAGCTTCCTTTCTGCAATGTCCAACTCTCTGGGATTCTCTCCAGCCTTTTACTTTGGGGCAAATGTAATGTCCTAGGAAGTGGGTTAGAGCTGTTCCACCTGGCAGAAGCCTTCCCCCAAATACTGAGTTCAGTACTTGGCTATTTATTATTTCTGTCCATTGTGGTTTATTTACTGATGCTGAGGAGTCTGGATTTCCTGGTTACTTCTTGTCTCTGGCATTTGTTACAAGTAAATGCACTTTGTGTACCAAGTGCTTCACACTTGACAGCAGAAGCACCACATACAGGATAACAGATGATGTATAGGGTTAATCCAGGTTTCTCTCCTCTTCTAAACCAGTCTGGCATTAAGGGAACTATCTAAGACAAGTAACGCCAAGTAATTTAATTTCATGGTACGTGGTCCCAAATCCCAGAAGATCTCAGATAGTGGGACTGGATAATTCAGTTACGTAATATTGCAGGTTTCATTTGGATTCACTCAAAGCAATGAGTTCTGTGCTGTAAGTTTCAAGTCTTAGAAAACTTGGTTGTGAGCGTAATGCACGGGTACCAGCACAGGCACTGTTTGGGTTCTAAAGACTGAAGGTCTTTAAGTGGGATCTCCTCAGCCCCTCTGAGCAGTGAGAGATGGACCGTGCCTTCCTGTACTAAAGCTCACATGGAAAAGGAAGAGGAAAGCTGCACAAAGGTTTATCAAGGGATTCATGACCTCTTGGATTAGCTCCAGAACTCAAACTCGGTGATAGAAAGACTCAGCCTTTAAGGGCTGTGATCTCCACATCAATGTCTCAGGCTTCACCTCCCCAGCCTCAGATCACCCCTCTGCTCCCTCCAGCCAGCACCAGGCAGAACGTTTCTCTGTGTGTTGCTGACTTGGCACCCGCTTTTCTCCTTTCAGACATTGAGACTGCCAGTGACATCGCCCTGTACTCTGGCCTGGGAGCCGCAGTCATTGCTGTAGCCGTGCTGGTGGTTGGCGTCACCCTGTACAGGCGGAGTCAGAGTGAGTACGGCGTGGATGTGATTGATTCATCTGCACTGACAGGAGGCTTCCAGACATTTAATTTTAAAACAGTCAGACAAGGTTAGTGTTGTGATTTCATCTTCTCCTCTCCAGAGCTCCTACTGCAAAGAGATACTGAGCTCATATTCAATGAGTGGCGGTGGGAGGGCGGCTTACTGCTGAGCGGCTGTGCTGCAAGCTGCGGCACAAGGAACGGGATCTGGTGGTTAGAGCTGTCTCTTACTGTCTGTGCTGTCTGTCATGGCAACATGGACAAGTGCATAATCTTTCCTGACCAGGCTCTTAAGTGCTTTAGAAATACTGTCACCAGCTTTTACAACGATGTTTGTGACTTAGAAAAAGCCCAAACAAATCAAAACAAGCCCAGGAAGCACGTCTGCAGTCCCTTGCCATTCTATTGCAGACCTTCTATTTCCTCTACTCTATTAGAAGTGACGAGTTTTTACCGTTCATTCAAGAAACCCAACTTTAAGTATTTTATAAGCTGCTGTTAACATGCAGACGTCCACATTCTGTGGGAATAAACACGTATTGATATGGAAAACAAACTCAGGAAAGCCACCAACACAACACAACATGGCAGAAATACTTATTTTCACTAAAAGCAGCTCTCAGGTGTCCTCTGGGATGTTACTGCCTTTGGACAGAAAGGAAGGGGAGGAATACACGTGGTGATCACTTCCAAAGAGTTTGTTCCTGTAATTCTGTGCTGACATTCTATCAGAGACCTGCCTTACTGTGGGTGTGCTGGTGGGGGGTGAAGCATCCCCGTGTCTCTCCTCTCTTTGGGAAGGAGAAAGATGTTGCACAGTTTGGGGGTGGGTCTGTGGTCTTTACACTTGCTTTGCTTTCTGGGAGACGTTCCCCACCAGGCACGTACTGCAAGAGACTGGATAAAGGGAGATGAGGATGTTTACTCACTCATTTAAAACCCCAAGCCTTTAATTAGAGTCATGTAATTCCCAATGACTGTCTCAAATAGTGCCTTTTTCCTTTTAAAGTCTGGTTTTGAGTCTGGGGAATTGTTTGTTTGACTTAATGCTTCAAAGACGTTCGTTTTGGATGCTTAAAATACCTGAGTGCGGCAGTTCCTCATATGCCAGGATGTGATTAGTTCAGTGCCAGGTACTTTGGGCTCTCTGTCCTAGGGGGGTTTAAAGAAGAGCATTTGTGAACTAAACAGTTCAGCTGGCCATTTCTCAGGATTTGCTGAGAAAAGGGAGCACATTGCTGACATATGGACAACAGACCAGTGGGATCCACATTCTGTTCTCTGCAGAAATGTACTTCTAGTGTTAGCAACCCAACCTGCAGCCCCTTACTAAAAACCAAAGAACCACCAGAAAAACCCTAACAAAAAAGGACCAAACCAGCCAAAACATTCAGACCCCAAATCTATCCTTTCCTTCTCTTTTTTCAGAGGGTTTTCTGAGGTAAAGTGCTCCTAAATGAGTAACTCTGGTGTTTTTTCCTACATTACTCTAGTCCCGCTTCCATGTCAACCCACTTCCCCTCACACATGAAGTTATCATTCACAGTAAAGGTCTGCAGGTAGAGAGAAAGCGAACAGGCATTCACACAAACCTGAATCCCAAACAAAAGGAAATTCCTTTTTGGCTTCCTGCACTCTGGAATTGCCTCCAATATAGCAGACAGTGGTCAGAGCACTTGTTAGACCTGTGGCACCATTTCATCCGTTCTTTAACATCAGCTTATGTGATTTTTTGAGCTCTGAGGGTATCAGGAAGGAAGAGCAAGTTTTTGATTGAGATTTCTCTCTACCACCTTGACACAGTCACTAACTCTGGGTCTGGTTCCTCCCAGGTAATTCCCTGCTTTTGAACTCATCCATGCAGCCTGACCTGACGGTGAGCAGAACATACAGCGGGCCCATCTGCCTGCAGGACCCCATAGACAAGGAGCTGATGACAGAGTCATCCCTGTTCAACCCGCTGTCAGACATCAAAGTCAAAGTTCAGAGTTCATTCATGGTGTCCTTAGGGGTGACAGAGAGAGCTGAGTACCATGGAAAGGCGCATTCTGGAACTTTTCCTCATGGGAATAATAGAGCTTTTGGTACAATACAGGCTAGAAACAAGGCTACATACATTCAGAACCTGTCTTCTATTTCAACCACAAGTGAGCTGAAGACAACTGCCATTTTTGGACACCTGGGAGGCCGTCTAGTGGTTCCAAACACAGGTGGGTAGATCCTTTCTCATTAAAAGCATATAGAATAATTTTAGATCAAACTTACTTTGCCTGATGGAGCGTTCTATAACTAGATGAAAGAAAGGAAAGAAAAAGGGGCTCTCTTAATGCAAATTTTGGGAAGTAGAGCATGTTGCCCACACAGGAGATGACTGATCAGAAGAAAGCTTGTGATGCGTAGTAAAGAGGCATTATGCCTATCTGAACTGTTATAAATTACTGCTTCTCTTGATGTTTTCAGCATGAAAGTCATATTAATCAAAGCTGTTGCTTACTTGGATCCTGATCCAAAAGAAGGGCTCCCCAGGAAGGAGGTCGATACTGGATCAGCATCTTATATAATGGGGTCATATTCAAAGCAGAATCTACAGCATCAACATCTGACTGCGTTAACATTGTCAGACTTCATTATGTGACTGAAGGCTGCAGCATATAACAGAGGGCCGTCCCTGGAGATCAGCTTCCCCTCTCCAAGAGGACTCCAGCGTGCCTTTCGTTAGCATTTGCTCCTGGCTTTCTGGGTTTCTCTTTCTTTTAGCCTAATAGCAAGACAGATTCCAGGGGGGGCACTTCAAAGTCAGCTGCAATTCAGGATTGGGCTGTGCACCGACACAGCGCAGCGGAGATGCTCAATTTGCATTAAGAAGGAGAGTTTGTTTTGTGACTTCAGAGTTCTGTGGGATGAACTTCAGACTGAAGTTGTTAAATTAGCTGAAAACATATGGCACCAAATTAGAATGAGATCAAGGATGTTAAAAATCCTGGCCCTGCAGTATGTTGCACTACATCATCATGTTCATATTACGCTGAATGAAATTCCTTATGTTGGATACTCTTGCATCAGCTGTTTCAGCCTTAAGGAAACAGCTGATGGTAGCTTTTGTTTCCACAGATCATTCCCTTTGTAAGTGGTGAAGTAGACAAAGATGTCTGCCTGTACCCGAGGATGCAGAGCAGCCTTCAGCCACATCCAGACTGTGAATGCAGTGTCACTCAGGGACCCAGAACAAAGGGAATTCACCTGTTTAAGAGCTCTGTTGGAGCAAGAAGTTTTTAGGCATAAGGGTCTATATGATTCCATGTAATTCCAGGCTCTAAACCAGTTAAATATTAATAACTATGTGGTTCGTATTAATAATGCATTTTCCTTTCATCTGATACAATGTTGTATCAGAACCACTGTTTCAGAGGAGCATTCCTCTGCTTCCACAGTTGGCCTTTATAGGTGATGTAACTCAGAGGCCAGCTGTGCACTGCTCCTTACCTCCAGAGCCTTTCCCAAAGGTAAGTTCTGGCTTTGCTCTTTTGTAGGAGTCAGTTTGCTGATACCCCATGGAGCAATTCCTGAGGAGAGTTCATGGGAAATCTACCTTGCCATCACTCAAAAGGAATCCAGGTAAGAAGGACATAAAAAAATCACACACCACCCCCCTTGTTCCACCATCAGGTCTCTGGTGCAGATGCTCATGATAAATCCATTGGGAGAGTAAATACTGACAGGCAAATACTAAATTCTTGCCTGAAATTCACATCATCCAGAGAAGAAAAAAAGAAGGATACTTGTCATAGTTTCCTCTTCACTTCTTTGCTTCTCCAGTTAACCTTCACAGTATTCCAGCATGGAATGGGAATATTAAATGCTGGCATTTGGTAATGTTTCCCTTTCCTGCCTTGCCTAATAAATGGCTCAGAACTGCATGAGAGTCTTAATGCCATGTCACTTATTACACAGAGATGACTCTTGCTACTTGCAACTAGTGAGAGAGTTCATCTAATTAACCAATTTCAGTTCATTTGGCATTAAATAATTCCCAGAACTCCCATATGTTTGTCCAATATGTTCTACAAGGGGAAGGATTCTTTAAAGGGATTAAATAGCTCCTTTCAGCCTGGCCCATCATCGGTCACTCGTACACCCTGCTGCTGATGCTGCCCGTGGAGTCAGTGATGACAGAGCAGCCCTGGCACTTCCCGTAACTTAACTTAGGGAAAAATAAAGATGGATAAAAGTTGGCTCGAGGGTTTCTAATTTGGAGACATTTGTCTTCATATTCTATATTTGAGAAATGATGATTTCTTAAATTAGCTGTAAGGAGGTGATTTAGGGTAACTGCTGTAGGGGTTTATTTTAAGGCAATCAAATACCATTTGTAAAGGGTAGCAGTGGTTGGGGTTAAGTGGTGGGGTTCTGTGTTTCCGTGGCAGTGCAGGAGTTGTGAAAAACTGTTATTCCTAGATATAAGCAGAAGCAAGTAGCATTCTCCTTCAACTCTTTGCTCTGAGTACTCATTCGGGATCAGGTCAGCAGATCTTGGGCATCTGTAAAGGCATTGGGGCTGCTGCTGCTGCTGCCGAGATGCTCTGTTGTGGCTTTTGGTCTCATTCCAGTCTTCAGCTCACAAATACTTGCACGTGTAGTCTATAGTACAGTGAAACTGTTAGAACTTTCAAGTCTTTAGCAAGAATGGTGGGGCTTAAGTGCACTTCTGAGCTCCTGCTATTGCAGTTAGTGTGGATGCCATCCCAAGGTGAGGTGAGAGATGTGCAAAGTCAATTTGCAGGATTGGAATCTGATTGATTTAAGAGCAGGCCAACACCTAAGTGTGCCTACATGAGAGCTACATTCACTTAAAGCTGTTACCCAAGGTGGTTTGGGTAACTCGGGTTTTGCTGCGATAGCCACGGAGCGCTCAGGCTGTTGCTCTGTTGCTATTGCAAAGCTCTAAAGGGTAAAGTTGTTAGCTTGAGACGTGACAGGGGTATAGATATCCTAATTTTTAAGGAGGGATTTTTCCCTTATGTATAGCTTGGTTTTATTATTGTGTCTTATTTATAGCTCGGTTGAGATTATAGTCCTTATTTTTATCTTGGAAATACCATTTACTTTGTTTTTAACCCAAAACCAAAAGGGTGAAATGCTTTGGTTGCTTGGTTTAATGTCTGAGTGTCACCCAGTTTGTCACTGATTCTGCACAGGTATTTAGTGTAAGGGGTACAGAAACACATTTATGTGGGTTGGGGTTGAATTTGGATTGGAATGAACAAAAAGAAATGCTTCTTGTGGGATACTTCATCTTTCTAACTTAGCAAGCAGTTAATGTAACCAACCACGGGTGATTATGGTTGGATGAGATGAATCCCCACACTTAATTGTGGTGATGGGCACTCCATGGGCTGTGAGGGAGCCCACGTGCCCAAACCTACTTCCAGAGCTCTAGGTTTCAGCAGAGCAATCCCATCCCTCCCAGCTGCTGTAGGTTACACCGAGCTTGTTCTTGCTGCTGGATAGGAATGTGTTTGCAAAGCAGGGAGATCGTGCTCAATCTGGGAAAATTCATCAGGCTGTGTTTTTAAACCATAATTTGTTTTATCTTCACTACTGTGAAAATATTGTTGATGACAGGCTTTGAAGGCAGAATTAGATGGTAATACTACCAGCTGGTGCAGAAAGCAGGGCTGACTTGCACACAGCAATTTGAGTGGTGGATTTGGTTTAAGCAAATTGAAATGTGATTTTTAAAGACCAGAATCCTAAAGTGACCAGCCAACGATCTGAGTTACATGTGGCCTAATGGTTTTGTTTCATCTCCAGCTACTGCTTCTACATGAGAATTAGCACAGTAATTGGATTCTTATCCTTAGATGTAACAGATGAGGGAGGGACTTAGGGGTTTAACTAAAATCCTTTAAACTTTGCAGCTCACTTCTCCTTATTAAACTTGCCTGACAGACGTTGTTCTCTTTCTGCCCCCCCAAGCCTAGAGCCAGAGGGCACGGATGTTCTTCTAGGGCCAGAAGTCACATGCGGGCCCTCAGAGGTGGCTGTCAGCACCCCCTTTGCCCTGACCATACCGCACTGCGCACAGGTCAATTCGGAGCACTGGAACATTCACCTGAAGAAACGGACACAGCAAGGAAAATGGGAGGTAAGTTCAGACTTCCCTCACTCTTGAAAGGTGCTAATGGTGGACATAGGGTTACTCCTGCAGGCACAGGGCACAGATTATGTGACAGAAACTGACACCTTAAGAGAGATTTTGCATATGGTTAAGCAGCAGCTAAACTGGTTTCAGGTATTTCACTAAGGTGTGCAGAACACTTAATGCTCTATCCCATATGACAGGAGACAGTGTCTGGTTTCTCAGATCACTTAATAGTGGAGCCAGTCATTCATTCTGTTGTTTTGATACATCACAGCTCCCACTGAGCCCCATGACACAACAGATCATTATATCCAGGAATTTATCATGACATAAAGTTATGGCAGAACTGGTTAAAAATATACACTTCATATACATCTCATTTCTTTTTAACCTAGAAGGTTAAAAGTCTTGGCCCTGTGCATGTCAGTTTAATGGGCATTCAGTGGCCACGCTGTGCTCACAGCCTCTGAAGGATTAGTGTACACGCAGTGAAGTATTTTGCTTTTTTAGTTGAACATGTATTTTCTAGTCCTGATTTACTGAGAAATTAAGCTTTGTGCATTCGTGACATGGGCATCTAATAATTTGGCTCTGCCCACCTACATAAATTAAGCCCAGTGGCCATCTTTGAAACTGCCTGGTAGGCAGCAGTCTCCATCACGTTAAACCTCCTGCATCATTTGCAAGGACAGCCTGCTAGTAATACTCCTGAAGGGACAGCTAAAGCATGAACCAAACTGTTGTTCACCATTACACAAACCCACACAGGACAGAAAGGTGCTGAATTTCCCAGCTATGAAGTATTCACTGTACACAGTAGAACCACAGAACTCAGTAATGAGACACAAATCCATAGTGGATCAGATTTTATTGTGCTGCTGCTGATGGGCCTGCCTGGTTCTTTGCATTGTGATGGGGAAAACAGTAGTTAACACAGTCCCAGGTACCATAACTCACTTTAGAGAAGGCAGAGGATAAAACACTATGATGTTTGCTGCTCCCATTTAAACCATTGCAAGTTCAGCTTACCTTTCCTACTTCAAATGCATTCAGTACTTAGTCAGCTCCATTGTGTTGGTTACAAACACCCTGGAATTATTAAGGAGCAGAACATCAGGCTGCAAACTGCGCAGAAGCTCATCTAATGATGTCGTAATGCAGAATCAAGAGTACTTTTTAGATACAAATAACATAACTGTAATGCATGCTCTGAAAAGGAAGTCAAATACCAACAAGTAAATACCAAATACCAATAAGCAAACCAAATTCAAGGTTTGCTTATTGACTTCAGATAATTTAACCTGACATTAGGGAAAAATTAGCTGGCAAGTCAAGAGCCCTTGAAAAAAGATGCTAAAATTGCTTACGCATCATCATTATTATTATTAGCTGCTGTACACACTGAGTTCTGGACAGAGCATTGCCATAAATCCTAGTGCTGACTCAGGGCTAAGCTGGGAGTATTTACTCACCTTCTCCCCTTCCCTGAGGTTAACATGAGGTGAGAGTTTGCAGGCTGGCCCTCAGGAATGTTTTATGTTCTAGTTGAGTGATGCTAAATAATGTTGTGACTCCTGTTGTCAAGGCCTGTTGCTTTTATTATTATACTTTATTTTTAAACCTGAATTTCATTTTGCAGGAAGTGATGTCTGTGGAAGAGGAAACTACTTCTTGCTACTGCCTGTTGGATCCTTATGCCTGTCACATTCTCTTAAACAGCTTTGGAACTTATGCTCTTATTGGAGAACCGATCTCTGACTGTGCCGTTCGACAGCTGAAAGTCGCCGTTTTTGGCTGCCTGTCTTGCAATTCTCTGGATTACAATCTGAGAGTGTATTGCATGGATAACACACCTTGTGCGTTTCAGGTACATGGTTTCCCTTTACTAACTTGCTTTTATTTGTCTTCCATAGAATATTAACATCCCTTGATTCCTGGGGACAATCCCTGGGCTCAAACAGATGAGAATACTGTACTTTTTTTATGCCACTGCTGCATGATTTGGAATAAGTCCCTTAATTTCTCTGCACTGTTGTGTGACTTGTGGATTTATGCTGCAAGAGCTGCAGGACAGTCACACTGTCCTTTCTTTGTTGGGCAGGTAGAGGGAACCCCACTTTGTCCCCATTCCAGAGTAACCAGAAGCCACGTAGCCATGGGTAACACAGCACAAAGCTACAGCTGATAAGCAGAGGGTTAGGTTGGGCTCAGAGCCTTGGCTCTGCATGGCCCAGGCAGAGCTGACTTGCATCTGGAGCTGAGTGCTCCTGCACTACACAAAGACAGTGTAAGTCTTTACCACGTCCTGTATAGTATTTATCACCTTTACACTCTCATTAGTCAGTACAGGATTTCCTCTCCTGTTTAACATTTGAGCAAGAAAGAGATTTCCCTCCCCATCTCGTTAAACAAAAATTCAATTACAATTGTGTATTTCCCCTTAAAAAAAAAAAAAAAGGCAGAAACACAACACAAAACCCCACGAAACAATCCCTGAATGGCAATGAAAGCTAGCAAGGTATTTCTACATGGTGTTCAGGATAAAACAATGCCATTCACTGGCTTTTGCAGCCTTAGGAAACTCAGAAGCTTTAACAAAATGGTTTTCTTTTGGGAGCTGAAATGAAGATAGTTGTGACAGATGAATTTCTGCTTCCCCTTCCTATCATACAGAACAGAAACATGAATCTTAATGAAGCAAGCACTAATGTCTGTGTGCTTCTAATAAAAGTAAAGCCACTGAAAACATTGTTAAAAGACTTACAATAGCTTTGTAATTATACCCTTTGTAACACACAATTCGCGGGCTACTTGTGTTTTGCTGGAGGAGCCTGCAGAAAATGGTTAGAACAATAATTACCAGATTTCCACATTCACAGAAATCAGAAGAGGGTGTTTGTACATACTGAGACAAGTGTGTATTTATTAAATTACGCTTCCCTTAAACACAAGCTACACTTTGTCTGGTGTAAACGTGAAGTAAGTAGTGAATGTGGAAAATACCCGTTTCTTTTGGCTAAAGAATCCAGGTTGGGAATACCAGGTCTGGTCTGGCACACGCTGCTGTCCTGTCTAAAATACCAGGTGCTTTTTCATTTTGTCCCACCTCTCCAAGAGACGACTTTGTCCTTTATGTAATTCCTAGTGTGTTGGTAACCTCTTGGCTTGCCAAATCTGAAAGAACCAAGTCCTCTGTCCGTTGCTGATGCTCACGGAGTTCAGGACCACATGGCATTAGCAAAGGTGGAGCAGTATTTATGGAACTACAGGACATTAAAAAAAGAATTCCAACACATTCAGGGAATTCTGAGAAATAGTTATGAAGGAAGCTACTCCCTTTGCAGTTGGAAATTAAAACCTAAAGTCTCCTTATTCCTTCCTTCCTATAAACCCAGCCACCAGGAGTTAAACCAGACTGAACGCCTGTAAATTGGGCTATAATGGAAATCCATATTATAGTTTCACAAAGCTCCAGCAGTCATTATATTTTCAGAAGGTCGCAGTGATTCCAGGAGCTCTTCTAACAGTACCTTTGCTACTGAGGAGCACCAAACCTCATGGATGTACCCAGATCTTGTATACTGTATGTGGATAAACTGGCTTTTGGTCATTCTGGAAGAGTGCTCACTAGCTGATCTGTAATGATTTCTGCAAGCTTCCCTCCCTCACTGGTGTCCTTGTTGTACACTACAGGAATAAACATGGTGTAAGTACAGGCAGGGGTGACTTTCTAGTGTTTGGTTTTAAATTCACAAGTCTATAAAAGTTGAGGTTGGAGCAGATCTCTCGAGGGCTGTAGCTCAAATCCCTGCTCAGAGTCAGCCCCTGCAGCATCACTCAGGGTCTTGTCCAGTTACTATGAAAACGCCCAAGCAAGGAGAAATGAATGTGAACATTTTGTCTCTTGTGTACGCTTGCTGCAGGCCTTTCAGTGCTCTCCAAAGTCCTGTCCCACCAAACCTGCTGCTGATTTCACCTGTAACTGAGTAGGCCGCTCACCAAGCATGCCTGAGGTTCTCATGCTTCCTTTTAGCCCATTGAGTAAATACCTTACTGAGCTGCTTATGTCAGGCTTAAGGAACACTACACAAAACCTGTAGGTTTTTTTTATCCCAAAGCTTAATTAAAGCACCAAGGACAGTTGCATTACTCCAGAATAGAAAAGGGACTAACTACAGTGTTGTCACAGTTTAACCAGTTTTCATTTTCCTCTTGGAGGGAAACAGCTTTACCTGGAAATGGGCTGACGTAGTCTTGTTCCCCCTTCCATGCTGATGTTAGAGAGCTCTCCGGTAACAAACTGCTGGCAAACTTCTCCTTTGTAGTAGTGATCCTATGGGATGCAATAAAATAGTAGCAGTCAAACATGAGTAACTTTCAATAAGAAACTGGCTAACTTAGGCCTGAAACCCCTGAACATGACAACAGCCACCAATGCACTGCAATACCCTGAGTTTCCTTCTCAGGTTCTGCTCTCCAAGTGTGATGTTAGTGGGTAGTGATGCTGAGGCAGCCAGCGAGACAGTTCAGTGTCACGGGTGCTTCATTACACACAGGGACATAGAGCTGACACTGCTGACCATCCTTCTGACTCCAGTGGTGAAATGCCAGTGTCCATCATCTGCCCCAAGAGAAACTCCCCCATGTACCCCCATGGCTGTAGGTGAATGAGGCCCCTTTCATAAAGATGAATTTTCATTAGATTTGGTACTTGTTCCTAATGCTGGAAAAAAAATTCCTTCCTCCTCTGCCACTGCAGGAAGTGGTTTCAGATGAAAGACTCCAAGGAGGACAATTACTGGAGGAACCCAAACTCCTGCATTTCAAAGGGAATACCTTCAGTCTGCAGATATCTGTGCTTGATATCCCTCCGTTCCTTTGGAGGATTAAACCATTTACTGCATGTCAGGTACGTGTCCGTTTTCTCTGCTCACATTTGAAGTTCAGAGGGAGTCGGAATTTTGACATAACCCAAATAAGATGATGTTCCCTTCTGCTTCTGCAAGGAGTGGGTTTAATCTCTTGAGTGTGCAACAAGAAAGCATCGCCTTCAGATTTTGACAAACACAGATTTCATATACAACAGAATGCTTTAAGTGTTTCTCACTTCACAAACATGCAAGCTTGTACTTCCTCTCATTTCAATCACCTCCGATGGAAGGCCTATGTTCCTGTTAAATTTATCACTCAGGATGGTTTTGATATCGTTGTCAGTCTAACTTCAAGATAACTGAATATATGGCTGAAAGGAGCATTCAAATGAAACAGTTAAATGTCGTGAGTTCAAAGAGCGGCACATGTATACTAAGAATTAAAACTGAGAGCATATTTTTTCTGTACTACATCAATGAAAGAGGCTGTTGAAAACAGGAAACAAAAAATCAAAACAAAATAACAATTTCTAAGTCGATGGTTCCTGAAAATGACAAGTGATGTGCTGGCACATAAAGTGGGTTAGTCTGTTAAATACAGAATGCGGTTAGACTCATCTCCCTTTTCCCAGCAGCACAGAGACAGACAGCTCTATATCATCCACTGTCTTGGCAGAAAACTGGTTTTAAATATACTACCATGTTCTCCAGAACTGCTCTAGGACAGGCAGAGGATGCCCAGATGACTGTGCTCCGTTCAGGGCCTGTTCTCTCAGCAGCCACTGAGGGTTAAAGGCAGCATGTGCAAAACCTCTGCTCACACATGGGCTGACGCAGGGCTGATACTGGAGCCAGGTAATAACATGAGTAGAGTTTAGGTGACTTGGGAGAGCTGAGAAATAAAATAGTCGTTTCTAACAGAAACTACAGAACTTGCACTGGTTTGTATTTCCCTCCCTTGTGAAATGGCCCAATTCTTTTGACAGCTCCGATTTGGTTCCAGGCTTTTGATACATAAAAAAAACTATCTCTCCATGTGGAGTTTCTTCCCATGTATGCTTGTTTTCTCTCCTACATACCACACTTCTTTTTAAAGCTTGATGTAGGAGCTGGCTGTTCTGGTTGTCAAGAACAGCTGAAAAGACCCTGTTCTGTAACTGTCTATTGGATCCACCAAATGAAACCATGATCAGACGGTACAATGAGGGAAGATGTGCGTTAATGATTTCTCAGATAAGTAAAGATCCTGCTGCAGGGCTTGAGCAGATGAATAAATCTTCCTGGAAAACTGGTAAAAGCAGTTAATGGCAGGTGGGAGTCAGGATTTCTCCAGCCTTTGTTTGTCCTGGCATCCTGCCTGACACCCTTCCCACCCTGCTCACAACTAACTAGGGGGAACCCTTAAAACCTGGCTCAGTGTTAGAGCAGGAACAGGCTGTGATAAGCATGCGAAGAAGCCAAAGGGGAACCTTTGGGGGCTGGCAGCAGCTGTCCTGGTGGTTTGTGTCTCTTGGAGGATCCAGCATCTCTCTGTAGCTATGAGGTGATTTACATTCCCTCTCTCTGCTAGGGACTTCATTGTAAAGGGAGAACAAAACTGAAAGCATTTCTGGAATACATGAAACATTCCTCATCCCACCCTGGTCTGCCCACCCTATGTTATATTTCCTATCCTTCTCAGCTGAGCGACTCTTCCACTCTGAATGAAAGCACAGATGATTACTCTGGAAAAATCTAATTACAGTTGCTCCACTTCTCATATTTTGCTAATGTATTCCCTATTACTGTTGGTATCTTGCTGCTGCTACCAGCTCAGGATCTAACCACAGAACCTATCACTGTCACTTAGCACATCATTACAGATAGCCTGAGACACACTGAAGAAACAGTAAACTGCAGATCAGCTACAAGTACAACTCCATCCTCCCTTGTTTAATGTTGACTCTGAAGGGGAGGGTGAGGCTGGTCTGTGGAGCTGTGTATCCCCACATCACCAGTGCACAGCTCATGTCCCCAGGGACACAGAAAGACTGCAACCTAAGTCAAGCAAAAACTGCTTATAGGAAGGCAAGGATGGAGAAATGCCTGTGTTCTGAGCTGCAGGCTCTTAGGTGAGCTTTTACCTGTAAACTGATCATAAGGACTGCGTGCATGGCTTACTTGATTTAACCAGCTGATTATGACAAGTGACTAGTTGGTCTCTCAGTTGTAACTATCAATGTTAAATACTGAAGGAATGTGAAACTCTTTAGCTTTCTCATATTACAGTCATTGCTCACTGAAGCTGTTTGATGCTGTCCTATAATCATATGGATGAATGCTAAAATACAGTCAAATGAAATACTAGTATCAGTCTTCTTCTCCCTTTTTACGTCAGTCTCCAGGATTTTTCAGTATTTTGGAATCAATAGGGATGTTTGATTTAACTGTTTTTACTATTTACATGCCTTCATGGCTACGTGTAGAAAACCAAAGTGGGTTTATAGCTAGTGTTAGTTTGGAAATTAAGAGGTGTTTCAAAAGCATAAACAGGAGACCAGTAAGAGAACTCTGGTATTTACAAAGTGATCATAACCTAGAAGTTAGCTGCCCCTATGTATTTCTATTTCCATATGATTTTAGGAACCCAAAGCAACCAGAGATGCCAGAAATCTCCGATAATTAATTGCTGCAGTTCTGTCTAGCATTTGATGAGGGCATCCATCCCATAAAATGTCCCTGGCTGAAGGAGAGGAGTCACTGAAAGTAGTCACAGAATAAAACAGGATGATACTAAACCAGACTGAGCACTGGTGTGCACTGGGCTGCACGTGGCTGCCCAGGCAAGTGGGTGTTTTTAAATACAGATGGAACATAAATACAGAAAACATCCTATTCTGCTGCGTGCTGCATGAGTTATAGAGGAGGTACAGTTCTTGATGGGAAGATCCTGTATTTGGATTCTGTAGTACAGGGTAATGGCAAGGAGACACAGATTAGAGTAAGAAAGAGTTCTGATCCCTGCCCAGGAGTAAGTGCATCTTAAGTTTCACTTTAAATGAGAGTCTCTCATCATCTGTGTCACTGAATGGAATCTAACTAAGCTTTCAGTAAATGTAACCCCGAAGTATTTATCAGCTGAATCATCATTTGATAGCGTTGTCCTGCTCTGAGCTTGCAGCATGTCAGTAAACACGCAACTGCACAGAAAAGAATGGGGTTTTTTCCTGTGTTGTGACGGTCTCACCTTCTCTCTCCCCACCCTGTTCCCATGGGATACGTCTCTCAGGAGGTGCCCTTCTCCCGTGTGTGGTGCAGCAGCCCCAAGCCTCTGCACTGCGCCTTCTCCCTGGAGCGCTACAGCCCCGCCACCACGCAGCTGGCCTGCAAGGTCTGCGTGCGGCAAGTCAAGGGCCACGAGCAGGTCCTGCAGATCCAGACCTCCATTCTAGAGGTAAAGCATCCTCTCTCCTGTTGGCCTTGTGAGACCCCATCCCTCCCCATTTTGTCCTGTGTGCTTTACCTCCTGTTCAAAACCATTAACATACATATAAATCCATACAGATTCTTCCATTAGAAATCAAAGCTCTAGAGATTCTGCAGTTCTGCTACTACTGCTACTTTACACTAGAGATTCTACAATTCTAAAAGTAATTTATATTCAAACTGGCGACAACAGTTTTCTTGCAAAAGGTTTTGAAGAGTCTGCAGAGCACCCAGAGCTGACAATGGATGGGTTGTGTGCTGTCTGGCCACTTTCTGTTCCCCTATTAGAGCATGCTGTGTACAGCCTGTCTGGACTGCAGCTCTGCTCGCATGGGAAAGGTACCAAACTCAAACAAGCTGGGGATGTGGCCTAAAGCAAAGAAAACTTAAGCTCCTTCTTTTAAATTATTGAGCCTCTTTGTTGGTCAATGCAAACTAAAAGTTCTGGATTAAAGGTGTGTGCCCATTGCCAAATGCACCATGCACGGAATGCAGCAACCAAGTAAGAAACCCACAACCACCATTCTGTATGAGACCATCCTCAGAATACAGCCACGTTCATTACTGTTATTTCATAAAATACTTCCATCATTCTATAGCTATGGCAGTACAATGTTGCTGTTGCCATTACTTTTTCCTCCCTGTCTGTCCTTAAGTCTCCAGAGCTACAGCTCTGCTCTCACACAGATTTGCTGGATGGAGGCTTTCTCATGCCCATCTCAAAAAGTGCTCGAGGAGTGAGGAGAATTTGACTGTAAAATAAATAGAGAAATAACAACTGAATACTTGAATTACTCCTTGCTTATACAATTCCCTGAACTAACCAGGTAGCAGTAGCTTATCTCATATGTGCAGGGTATGAAAATCTACTACTGTTCTGCATAGTTAATTTAAACCAGTCAGACCATGGGATAGATCTACAGCACTATTATTCTGCATGGATGGCTTTGGGGAGGTGTCATAAATGTTATATGAAGAGACTATAGCATCATTGTTGTTCAGTATTTATGCTGCATTTCACTGCAACGAGTAACGCATGGAAATGTGACTCTGTTAAACAAGACTCACTTCATAGGAGAAGAATGGGCCAGACCTGGCTTCCCAGGAGATTTCTAATAGGGAAAAACAGGTACTTAGAGAATTTAGTTTTTTTGGTTTTTTCTTAAACCACAAATGAGATACTTGTGTCCATCTTTTAGGCTGTCTCAGTTCCCCATTTCTAAGCAAGTGTCTCTGGTATAACTCCTAGTGTTACTCTTAGTAGTTTGCTAGAGAGCTGCCTACAGACCAAGATGGACAGGAAGGTGATGCCCTAGCTAACTGCTTTGCTGTTGTATTCCATGCAGAATGAAAGAGAAACCATCACTTTCTTTGCACATGATGACAGCAACTTTCCTGCACAGATGGGCCCAAAAGCATTTAAAATCCCCTACTCCATCAGGCAGCGGATCTGTGCAACGTTTGACACACCCAACGCCAAAGGCAAAGACTGGCAGATGTTAGCACAAAAGAACAGCATTAACAGGTAATAAAAGACAGTTTGGAAGATTAATGTTTTACATGTGCAGTGGGAATAATTTGCTGCTGTTCTGGGTTTTTTGTTTACTTGCTGATATTAAAGATGTGAACATAGCGATTATGGTCCTCAGTCTCAAGGATAAGCTCTAGTTCATACAGTCTTTTAAATATGGCAAGCTGCTGAAACCAGGAACTGCTTTATCTGAATGCTACCAGAGGTTTGCTTCCAAGGTCAGGTTCTTTGTTGTGGACCAGACCTCCTCTTCATTGATCCACAAAAATGGGGTCTTGGTACAGCACAAACTAGAGAAGGACTTTGGCACTGCTGTGGACTATGAAAGCAGTGCTTTAAAGGACCTAGGAGGGTGCATGTTCTCTGAGGAAAATCATCTGTCCTGTTGCCTTGGCTTCTATCTATGCATTTCGTATTCCAAAATGAATTACTCATTTTGCAGGTTTCAGGGTTTGTTTTGGGGAGTTTTTTCTTAGTAAAAGGCATATTTAAAAAAGAAAGTCATGCTCTACTGTTGGGAATAATAATATTATGATTATTAAAACTGAGGGATGCTGTAAAAACTAATTTACTACTCATTTTGCTTTTTCCGCTTGGCTAAATTAAATTGGTGGAGGCAGTTCACTCACAGAAATATTTTGTGATTGTCACAACCACCATAAATATGTTCCCAAGAGGGCACAAGAATACTTCAGTCAAGCAAAATAACTTCTCAGTGGTGACTTGCTTTGCCTGGGAATCTCAATAAACCACATCTGAACTAAAGCAAACAGAGATTTGTAGTCTTGCAGCACTGAGAGAATCACAAAGTTCTGCTTTGCTTACCAGTGTTAACTACCGCTGCCAGGCACTGTAATCTCCCTTGTTTCCACTCCTCATGGAGGAGATTTCTTTTCCTCAGGAGGCTGAGAGCCTGCTTACTGAGGAGACTACACTGCCTGTGTAAGACCAGACTGGTGATGTTACCTGTTGGTTCTGCAGTGGGGACACCTGCTATAGGGTCTTTGTGATATCTACTTTGCTAAAATCAAATTCACGGGTAGAAAAAGGAAGCTGTTGAGCAGTTGAAACAACCCAGATGGTGGAGCATGAACACCTGACTGCATCGATTCCCACAGATCTGCTGTACAGCATCATCCATAATATTTCCCCATCTATTTCACAACACAGGCCACTGCCGTAGCAGTAGTTCTGCTGAAGTCAAGGTGTTACTTGGCAAGAGTAACAGCCTGCCTTCAGCTCCTCAGGGTAGACAGGCATCTGTTCTGGCAATGCACTGGAACGATTCCTGTCGTGGCTACAAGGAACTTCTTCAACATTGGAATTGTACTACATGTACACACACTATTCCCTGTATGTTCACTTTCAATCTCCAATGGGGATGAATGTTCAGAGGGAAGGGAATTAGGGAAGCCTGAGGAAAAGAATGGTTTCTGCCTGATTCTGACTGATGAGAACAGTACAGAAATGGTCAGTAATAAATATTTAATTATCTTGGAGCTGGCTTAAAGAGCCAGACATTGAAGCCCAAATTCCCTTTTCTGTGCTACAGGTTTATCTGTTTCTTCCCATATTTATAGATCTGTATCTTAATGTAATACAAATGCATAACATTTATGCTTGTGAATATAGGTAATGTATTTATTCAGATCATTATGTCCAAAGCCCGTAAATAAAAGGAGTTAGGAGGTAATGTGCTTAAGATACTTGTTTTACCAAATTCTTCGCAAATATCACCCCTGCAAAGTCCTAAAAACTACATATTAATCAAATACAAATTTACAAATTAAAAGATGTCATGTCTTTGTAATCACAAGCATCTATTTAAGTAAGCGACATAATTCCTCTCCCTCACTGTTTTGGGGTTTTCAACACATTGACAGCGCTAGGCCCCAGTGCGCTTTCACATCCATGGTACCTACAGTCTATACTGCTCCTCATCCTCTCTGTTTCACCTTTTTCTGCCCTCCTTTTAGGAATCTCTCCTATTTTGCTACACAAAGCAGTCCATCTGCTGTCATTCTGGACCTCTGGGAAGCCCGACATCAGCACGATGGTGACCTTGACTCCCTAGCCTGTGCCCTGGAAGAAATAGGAAGGACACACTCCAAAATCTCAGACATAACAGAAACTGAGGTTGAGGAGCCCGACTTCAACTACAGCAGGCAAAATGGACTTTAGATACTCTCTCCATTCAAGAACTGATGGCCAGCTTTGACTATGACACTAGAGATTCTCTTTGGCAGGGAGGAAATAAGGGTTTCTGCACATCAGGGTCTGCATGGAGACAGACACTCAGTTCCACAATGCAGTTTTCAGTTGGAGGAGCAGAAGCAGCCCTATTAAAAATCCTAATTACAGGACACAGTAATACTGATATAAAGCCTAGTGGAAATCAGTGAATATGATATGGAATATTTGAAGCCACTAGAAGTTAATCCTGGTTTAAAGCTTTGGCTTTTGGGGCCTGGAGCTCCCTTTGTCCTGCAGCTCCAACTTACCACACTTAGAGTGGGTTTAAGATGCTATTCAATAGCATCAGTTGTCCCTTTGTATCTGCTACAGGAAAACTGGCCGCCTCCTGTTCAGATGTTTGAGGAATTAGAGGATCTTGTAACTATTTAATTGATACTGTTTGTATTCCAACCAGTTCCTTTTAAACATTCAATCACTTGGTGAATGTACTGCTGCTGCAGAGCTTACTCTGTTAACAAAGGAACAGAACAAACCCCTCCTCTGTGGAATTAGTGTGTGCCTGAGAGAGATTTTCTCAAGTTCTTGGTCTGCAAATGTTCATTTAGTCCAAAAATGTTTCTTTGGGGGTGGATTTAAATAACCAAAAATCACACGGGAAATCACCAGCCCTGTTTTAGCAAGTTTACACATTTTTCGCTTACTATAGGTACTGAGGCTAAACTCAAAAGTCAAAGTGAAGTCAGGCAACACAGCTTGATTTTTGTTTTGTTTCAGACAAACAATAAACCCCACAGGCTCCTGCCAAAAATGGGCTTCATTCCATTGTACACCCTGCAAATCTCACAGGACGTGAAGCTCGGCTGTGTTGTTCCACTTGGTTTAGTTACAAACATGGCACTGACCACCAGATTCACCCAGAATGTAAAGCTAAGAGAATTCTCCTCGTTTTTTCTCCATTATGTACAAGAATAACTTATTACTTCAACTGAACCAAAAAGAGCTGTCACTGTGAGCAAGTGGAGCTGGTGCTGAGCCAAATTTAACCTTTATCTTACTTATGTATTCTTTCAAATGAGCCAAGGAGCTCTGGCCGCGGGCTGTTGGCTTTGGTGAGAGGGACACTATCAGTACAAAGCAAAACAAAACCGAGATTTCAGGAGCTCTATGGAAGTGCAAGAAATGGAAAAGAAGCACTCTGGGCTCTTCCCCCTGTGTTTGGTCAAGAGCAGCACAACAGGCCACAGAGTAGGTACGTAGTGTGCCAATCTGTGATAATCTGAACCTGTTTCCTTACCCAGGTTCTAGTCATGAAAGGTGTGATGAGCTACCCTTCATTTAAACCTTGGCTTGTTCTCGCTGCTCTGAAACTGTAAATCTCATTGCTTGCCCTGCTCAGCAGGCTGCAATAGTGTTAGACTTATGAATACTTAAGATTTCCCCCAACGTTTTCTGCACTTTAGTATTTCATGCAGCCTGACATGAGAGTTCCTGTTTGCAGTGGGAAATCATAATGGCTGTAAGCATATTTGCGACAGAGACAAAAATACCTGCTTCTTTGGCTGCAAGCTGTCACTGTTTTCAGCAGCACATGGTTCTATCTGTGTTTGGATTATATTTCTAGTGACTTCCAGTCCTCCTCCTCAGAAACCTGTTCTTCATTGGACAAAATGTCAGGAATTAAGTAAAAATAGGGAATGGCATCCACAGCAAAGCGGCAGAGCTTTAGTGAGCTGTGGTTGTCTGGGAAACCAGCTCCAGGTTTAACTGCACTCTCGGGCAGTTAATTTGTGCTCAGCTTCTCCTCAGATGCTGTTTAATTTTCAGACTAGCTTCTGTTCCCTACCACAGCAAAGAGCAAAGCATCACCCTGCAGGTGCCGAGGCACACCCATGTCATCCCAAAGAGCTGCATGTATCCCATCTTGTTTTCCCAGTGTGAGCTCCACACAAAACCTGGGGTCAGAAAGAGCTGAGCACAGAGCTTCAACCCAAAAGCTTTATCTCAGGAAATGCAGAGTGTTCACTTCCCAGGCTTGGGCAGCTTTGAGAAACCTCCATGTACAGACACCCAATGCTGCTTTTGGAATGCTCAGCAAAGCCCAGAGAGAGAGAAACCAGCAGCTGTGCAGGCTGACCTCCTCCAAAGTACATCTAAAGGGGCCTTCGGATGGAAGGGATCCGGGTTCTACACCAAATCCCAGTTAGATGCAAAAATCCCATCAAATTGAGTGTCTGCATTAACCTACTGAAAAGGAATAGATGTCAAAGTTGCTTACAGAGCCAGAAAAGAAACCCTTCAGGCTGGGGCCTGAGGTAAGATTATAATTCTACATCACTCAGTGGAGTATTACTGTTTCCCTTTAGGTTTTGATTCCTGTTTTCACTTTTGCTAAAGCAGCAGCTTTGTTACTGAGCCTATTTTTGTGACTCTGAATCAAGAACTCTTGCTTTTTCTCTAACCTGTTCTTGTTTTGGTGCTCTTGTACTGTTTTAAGTGGACTGGAAATGCCACAACACTACTGATTTACCTTCCTCCCATTGGAATGGGGTTTGAAGCAGTAACCAGACCATGCTACCAGGAGCTTATCCAGCTGTACACCTGGAGTCCTAAAAGAATGGCTATACTGTCACGTGAAAATCCATGTAGAGCTGTGTGGTATCCTTAAGAGGGCCCAGGAAACAGTGTAAGTAATGGGCCCCTGTACTAAGGGAATTCCTCAGCAGGGAGTTGCATCTGAACCACTGTGTCTAAGAACCACTGATACTGTCCTTCAGAAACCTGACTTAGATCCCACAGAAACACTTGGCCTTCATGAGCACTATCCAGGAGAAACAAGTGCCACGACCTTCTCTTGGGTTCTTTAAACAGCCCTTCCTTTCCTTACCACACGCTGCCTGACCATTGCACTAGGTTCTCCTTGTCCTATGTAAACAGGGTACTGAATAAACCACTGCTGAATCACCTTGTCCATACCACACACCCTTGGACAGGCTTCTCTCATACCTCATTCCCACTCACACTCTTGTCTGTTCTGCTTCTCTGGACATCCTTGCTGTTATTGCTAGATAGCAGGACAGTAAGAAATGGAGACCAGGGGGTGGAAAAGTAGGCTCCAGGTTTTTCCTGTTCCCTTTGTTACCAGGTGATGATCTGATGGATCTGGGCAGACCTGCCTGTTTCCAGGTGCTCCTTCTGCTGGTTGGCATGAGTGGCATTGGAGATGCTGATGGCACTTCCAGAGGATTATGCCAATTCTCCTCTCTTTTTATGCACAGTTTTAGAGATGGAGAAATTCAAATGCTTTTTAGGTAAATGCTTCTGCTGCCACATGGATTGTGTTGCCATTAACAAAGAGCTAAACTATACAAGTAAAAGGTGTTAAATGTTTGCTTCCTATTTGTTACACTAGAAAGCAACCGGCCCTTGCCAGCTCCTCACAAGCCTGCTCTAAGTATGCTTTGCAGAATAAATCAGAATTTTGATTCCAGTGCTATAAATAAATTATTAGAAATCTCAAAATACCAGAAACACATTTCTAACATCTATATTAAAAAGGTTTTTTGGAACTCTATACCCATATATGTGTTGATATGATCTAACACCCAGCGGTAAAGGAGCATCTGAAAAAGGGCAAGAGGCCAGGAATTAAAAACGTATTCCCCTCCTCTAGTTTCTACATTGTGACTTCTGGAGAAGTGACTTTAAGATCTCTTCCTAAACTATAAAGAGAAAGAAAACATGATGTTATGTTACCCAGGGAGAGTCCATCCTGCTGCCCTGTGTGCGATACGGGGGAATAGCCATTGTGATTTCCTATCACCAAAGACCCTGCTGTAGCTAGAACCTGGTTTCATCTTCCTCAGCACTTCTTCTCCCAGATACTCCTGTGTGAGTCATTCGCGATTCAGCCTAAGAGTTGCATTTTAAAACTGACTTACAGTTTTGTCACCAAAATGGGGCATTTCACAGCTCTGCCAGACTGCAGCATCCTAAAAGCTCATTTACAGTCTCACCACATTGCTTTTGCACAGTCTTGCTGGTTTACAGTAGGATCCTTTTAAGGCAGCAGGAAAGGAGCCCTGCTCTGCAGCGTTAAATTCAACCTTCATCTACCAGTGTAAGAGCTGTAAAACCCAGATGGACTCCCACAAAAATTTTACTGGGCTTTTTGTGACAGATGAACAGATAGCAACCCGATTCTCTTAAAATATAGGGCACCATCTTTGTGATTATCATCAGCTCTGGCAAGAGCAGCTCTCCTCCTCCACAGGCCTGTGCATGGGTTGCCTTCAGCAGGTGGAGAGAAAAGCTTACTCAATGTAAATCACTGCAACATAGATGTCACTGGACAGAGTCTTGGACTAGCGTGGGGCATCCCTGCCCATGCAAGGGGTTGGAACTGGATGATGTTAAGGCCCTTTCCAACTCACAGCTTTCTGTGACTGTGTGACTCCATGGTACTAACATCATCCTAAAGGTCCATTTTTGTTTTCACTTAAAGATAGCACTTTGTGAGAATAAAACATTCAGTAACTGATCAGTTCCAAGGAATATTTTCCACTACAAAAAATACAGTGTATGCATACAGTGCAGCTAAAACAGGTGAGGAACTGTTGTAGAATTTTGTTTGTGACTGGAATTTATCACATCCCCCCCCAATGTGTTTCTGCCTTTAAAACACAGATAAAGGCAAAGGGCTGCATTTTATTTCCTTGAGTTGTAAATAACTGAGTGGAAACCAGGAAATTATTTCTAAGTCCTTTTAACAACTGGGAATCATCTGATGCTTTCTCTTCCCAGCCTTTCTTTTCCTAATCTGAATTATTCCTAGGAAGTCTGCCCCTTTCCCTACAGCAGTGGGCACAGTTAACGTTCTTCACTGGGAGCCTCTCTCATGTTGAACCTGCTGAAGAATGTTTTCTGGGGTCTGTGGGATATGGTTTGGTAAAATCACTCCCTTGGCACTATTCCTGCTTCAGAAGAGGCAGCGTGTGAAATGGCACATGGATCCTTCTGTGGATCGCTCATGATTGTCTAGTTACAATTCTTAAAGCATAAAGGATGCCTGAGCAAACACAGTAACTCAAAGTACTAGCTCTAGAACACACAGTACCTGTAGCAACAACTAAAACTCAATATGCTGGCAAAAGGTTATGAATCATTTCCTAGTAACACACAGTCTCGCTCTTTTCTCTCATCACCAATACTAGCATAAACGGTAGCAAAAATCTCCTTTCCAACATGGACAAAGATAACGAAACCACTCTAAGATTAAAGAATCACTTGAAGGAGCATTTGATAGTGACAGAATCTGCAATGCAGAAAACAACCGATGTTCTACTGCCGCAAGGTAAACCTGTCAGTGTCCATGTTCACTGTTCTGTCCAAAAAGAACATAAATGTCTAGGAATTTGCCACTATACTTTTTGTATTAGAGGTGAATAGTACAGATTCTACTAGTGTTTCTTGTCTGGGGCTGGGGGGGGTAGGGGTGTATTGTAATTTTCAAGCTATTGCAAAAGCTGCTTTTAAATAAGCTGTTCAGTTGTATTGACTAACTGGTTTGTGCTTTCCAAGGGAATCCAGGCGAGCCGGGGTTCGGGGGTAGCCTCCGTGCCTTGCTGTCACAGGGTAACTAGAGCTGAAGTCACTTGTGAAAACTTAGCTAAGGGATGTGGTGATTAGGCACCCGTCCCTGATCTGTGATGTAGTGTACTGTAATCTAATGAGATTAGACACTCACCTACTGTAGAGCCGTGGTTTTGTCAGCAGCTACTTAGTCTGTCTGCCCCTGGTGTGATAACCTTGGTTGAGAATGTACTTCTGCAGAGTTAAGATGATGTCAAACCCCTGTGTTATCTGGTCTCTGTATATAAATATTATTGTCTAATCCCAAAAGGAAATGTGTAGCACAAAATGAAGTGAAGGGCGTTCTGCACCAAGCCTGGTAGAAGTTTTTTCTGATGCAGCAGGAGGGGGAAGACATCTAACAGCAATGTCTGCCACAGGCAAGAAATGTTTCCTAACAAATCCACACTTTGAACTGACTGAAGCTTTGGTTTTGCAGTTTAAAAAATGTAAGACCTGGTATTTCCCATCCTGAAATTTGGAATATGAACCTTACAGTGATGATGTCTTTCCAAGCAATTCCTTCAGTTTCCCTCTATCTGTGCACTGACATTAAGTTGAAGGGGGATGGAGGAATATTTTTACATGAAGCTGTAGACTTTTGCATTCTTTCCCTTTCAGTTTAAGCCCCAGATCTCATTTCTGAACCTCACACAGTTCCCCAACCCATCAGAAACACACACACACACACACAGATATATATGCCTCACTGGAGATGTGGCATATACATACTTCTGGTAGATAGTTGGGAACAGCCAACTGACATCATAGAATGGTGACCTGGGAGATGTAGCTGCCTCCTCTTGACTACATTCTTACCCACTATGACTGATCTCAGTTCATACATGGTCCAAGAACCTCAAGTGTACACCTCTTGTTGATTTGGAAGAAGTAAGATGTGATGCTGGTCAGTTGGTGGGATTTCAAACAGTGGTATGCATGGCTAGAGCTGACTAACTGCAAAATCCATGTTGCAACCTTCAACTCTTCTGACCAGCCTTTAGGTGAAGGGGGAACTTCAACCTAAGCAACTACAAAATTAATACTAATAATTTTTTAAAGGGAAAACCCACAAGTATTCCTTTAGAGACCAACCTTCTCTTCTGCTCCTTTCTTTTAGCAGGGAATGGGTTCTGACAATGCTGGTTTGGGCTCAGCTGACTGAGCGTTCTTCCCTCCCCCGGGTTTCAGTGTGTTTAGAACTGAAAAAAGAGCAGAGGTTTGAATGCTTTCTTGAGTATGAAGCTGAAGGAGTAGGAGAGGAACATGAAAGCATGGCCTTGGCTTCATACCACACTTTCTGTGCCTTGTTCTATCAATGTAAATTCTGAATGTTGTACAGTAAAATACTTGGGAAGGACTCCTTGGAAAAGGCTGCACTGGCTTCTTTTTTCAGCACATGTACATATATAAATATATATACATATATATATTTGGTAATGCCAAACAGCTGTGTTATATTGTACTGAAAAGTAATAATGGACAGTTTGGATGTTTTCTGTAGAGTTTGCAATCCTGTATGGCTATGGCCTTTTGGAGATAAATGTACAGACGTAAATTACTGCATATCAGTTATTTATGAATAAAGAGTCTTTTACTGACATCTTCGATTACTGTATGAGTGACACATTCATTTCATGGGACAGAACAAGATGTTATGATACAAGTGCTTTGGGATGCTCAGAGTGAGCCTTGGATGGGAGTTTACACCTTTTTCCAGAAAACCTACAAAATCTACAGGAATAGGACCAGAACTGAAGTTCACCCTTTACTGACAACACTGAAACAATTCAGGAATATCAGCCTGCTTTCTTACTAGTCTGAACCACAACCCCAAGAATGCCAGTTACGTTCTATCTGACACGTTTCAGGTATTTCACTGAGCTGCCCTACTTGTCCGAACAGAGGTCCAAGCCCCACTCCAGGGCTAGGACATTTTTGTCCTTTGCCCTACAAAAACACCATCGGTTCTGCTTTTTGCAAGACAGCTGCAGAACCTCTCTGTGGATGCATACATACTGCCCATTCCCTCTAAAATGCAGGTAACTCCATTGCTGCATCCTGCAAGCAGTTGTACCTTGAATCCCACATCACTGGAGTTCTGTTCCTGTTACCGTGCAAAATGTAATCTTTGGATTTGTAATACCCATTACTGAGACAAGAACTCATTCTCCTGATTAATCCTTCCTATACAGATGAGGTCATAACCTTATTATCCCACCTAAAAGAATGGAAATACCCTGCCAGCAAACAGCACTCAGTCCTGCAGTCAGAAAGCCCCCGACTGTTATCACCAACACATCACAACCTGCACAAGTACCAGTGCTCATCCTCCTCAGAGGCACCCACATCTGCTTGTCACCAGTCTGGGGAGAAGACACCAGGAACCCTT